ATAATAATTGCATTTTCAAAAACAAACACATGATATCATCTTTCTTCAAGAAACCTGGGCAAAAGAGGGCACTATGGTTGAATTACAGGGTTTTACAAGTTACACTCAACCAGCTCTTAAAACTGTAAAGTATGGAAGGCCTAGTGGGGGGCTGGCGGTGCTGGTGTCAACCTCTCTTAATGTATCAATTCAACAGTGTCCCTTGCTGACCACCCCAAATTTTTTAGTGTTGTCCCTTTCTGATAGTCTCCTGAGAAATACTTATTGCATATGTGTGTATATACCTCCAGTAAAGTCTTGTGGGGAACTGAGATCATATTGGGATAAACTTGACCAACTACTCGAAAGTATTGACTCTCTGTCACCTAACCCTCGGATTATCTTGGGAGGTGACTTCAATGCCCGGATCGGCCTTGTTTCCCCACAAAATACAATATTATCTGGTCTAAACTTGGAGGATGAACCTGATGAACCTGAAATCTGTCAGAGGGCAGCAATGGACACCACCTCTAATCGCGCTGGGAAACATCTTTGTGAACTTATAATAAAGCATAACCTTTTGTTATGCAATGGGCACGGTCAAGGGGATCAAGAGGGTTATTTTACTTTTACCTCCCCCAGAGGATTTACTAGCACCATAGATTATATCCTAACATCTAATAATGTGCCAGTTAACCGAGATACCTTCAGGATAATTCCTAGAGCTGAAAGTGACCACTTTCCACTTGAGTTATCTCTGACATTATTCTTTTCTCCTGCCTTTCCTAAATTATTGGATGAAACAGAATATCTGATACTTGGAAATAGAAGGTTAAAATGGAATGCACAGGTCCAAGAAAAAATGATTCAGATCCTGGATTCCCATGAATTTGCTTTATTAAAGGGGAAAATGTTGTTAGAAACAGGAAACGTAATTGGACTTTATGAGAACATAATCAACCAAATGCGCCCACTGATGACCACAGCTAGTGTGATAAAAAACAAAAAGTTTAAGAGACAGACTTGGTTTGATAAGGAATGTCAGAATAGCAAAAAATACCTAGCTAGGGTACTTAGAAAATTGAAGTTAAAACAGGATAAGCACAATCTTGCCCTACAAGCTGAGGTAGCCCAGTTACGAAACAACTATAAATTATTACTTAAAAGCAAGAAACAAATATATTATGAACAACAGTGGAAAGAATTGGGAGATGCAGCACTTCAGAAGGACTCACGGAAATTTTGGCATCTGGTTGCCCAAGGCACAAATGCGCTGGGCTACTCGTTAGAAGCATCTGTCCAAGGAAAGGATTGGGTGACATATTTTACAGAAATATATGGCCCCTGCCCTGACCTATCCCCACAAGTTTACTATACCCAGTTATCAGAACTGCCAGAATGGCCAGACGTCACGCCCAATCAAATTAAGAGGCTAATCGCAAGCCAACTAGCTAATAAAGCTCCAGGAGAAGACATGATCCCAATGGAGATCTATAAAATAAGACCTGATTTCTGGTCACCCATATTTGCAAAATTGTTTTCATACATTAACAGCTCAGGTCGTATACCTGAAGGGTGGAAGTTGAGCATAATTGCCCCAATATATAAAAAGGGTGATAAGAAAAACCCTGCGAATTATAGACCCATTAGTTTGTTAGATGTAGCCTCCAAACTATATGCCAGGCTCCTTCTTGGGAGACTAGAAGAATGGGCAGATACAAATAAGGTGATATCTGAAGTCCAGGCAGGTTTCCAAAGAGGGAAATCCACATTGGACCAGTGCTTTGTGCTGAACTTTCTGCTATGTAAATACATCCATAACTTGAAGCAAAAATTATATGTTGCTTTTATCGATCTAAAGTCAGCTTTTGATACGGTCCCAAGACACGCTTTGTGGCAAAAATTGGAAAAGACAAATATAGATCTCCGTCTATTATTTCTCATCAAAACATTATATACTGACACATCAATACAAGTAAAGGTGGATCTGGCTGGCCATCTCACCACTAGAATTAAGACCACCACTGGAGTCAAACAGGGATGCATTTTGGCACCTTTCCTGTTCAATTTTTATATTAATGACATGGTTAAAGAACTGGAGGGCCTACAGTTTGCCCCTGTCACAATTCTCGACCAAAAACTCTCAGTTTTAATGTATGCTGATGACCTAGTACTTGTATCTAGAACCCAGGTGGGCCTGAGACGGCTGCTTGCAAAATTAAGTTCATATTGCATGAGGAATGCTTTATCTATAAACTATGACAAGACGCAGGTCATTGTATTTGGGAAGCGTTCCAAAAAGCATGTTTGGCACCTGGATGAACACATCATAAACCAAGTAAATACGTTTAAATATCTGGGATTGATTTATTCAGAAACGGCATCTTGGAATACACAGCTATCCAATATCAAATTGCAAGCCTTTAAATCAGCAAAAGCCATTCTGAAATTCGCTGCATGTAAAGGTGGAAATCTGGTCAACCCAGCTCTATCTGTGTATAAAGCAAAAACAATGGCCCAGATTTTATATGGCGCAGAGGTTTGGGGTACCTCAAAGGTCTCCGGTCTGGAACCCCCACAGAATTATTTTTTAAGAGTTCTTTTAGGTTTACCCAAAGACGTGCAATCTGCCATGGTCAGGTTGGAAACTCACATGTTGAGCATAGAGAGCCAAATAGATAAAAGAATTCTCTGTTACTGGTTTAGAGTTCAACAGATGGACAACACTAGGCTACCAAAAAAATGCCTGATTGAGCTCTCAAATGGATTACCCCTTAAAAACTGGGTACATCATGCTGCCCAACTGATGGGCAAATATGATCTCTCAGTGACTGAGATTAAAGAACTCCCCTTATATTCACAGAAAAATATTTTTAAACGAACCATAAGGGCAGTGGCAACTAAAAACGATCTAAACTCTATGTGCACATCTACATGCGCCCCATTGTATTTTAAACTTAGAGAGGTCAATGAACACATATCTTATTTTAATGAATTGACTTTTGCACAGCTTCGAAAAGCTTTTACAGAGCTACGACTCAATACAATAAGCTCTGCTTATAGAGATGGGAGACATAGAGGCATACCAAAAAACGAACGTGTTTGCATTAGGGGATGTTCTGAAGTAGAGGACCTTATGCATTATATCTTGCACTGTCCGTTATATAATGATGCAAGAAAAAGATTTTTGGTACCTATAATGACAGGGTCCCCTGGCCAGAACCCCCTCGATATGATGTTATATCTCCTTGCAGACACAGATAAGTATGTGACCTGGCGGGTAGCACTTTTTGCAACTGCTGCTAGGAAAATTAGAGCAAATTATATAGCCAAGGTAGCCATTAACTGTAAAGGAGATGAATTTATTTGATCCTATCTATCTACCTCAGGCTATGCTCTATCTTTGTCACCAAACTCCGAGTATAAATTGCACACTGTATTAATTGATATTGTTTTTAACATTAGTGACCATGTGATGATTTTAGCTTATGAATTTTATTGTTTAATGTTTTTATTTGTACATTGGGGTACTTTTATAGCTTTGTTTAGAGTATGTAATGTTTTAATAATATAAATGTTTTAAGCCTTTTTTTACCAATTCAGTATATTTACTTTTAACTGTCAAATAATTCTGTGTACATTGCGGCAGCCTTTGGCTATGTGCAATAAAACTGACTGAGACTGAGACTGACTGGTCAAGTTTATTGGAGTAGGCTTGATTACTGAGGATGATTACTTGAGATTCAGTATTCTAACCCAGTAGTGTTAATGAAATCCTCATTTGCTGTAGAATTAAAGAGTCACATGCCAATGAAAGAGCTTTCACTTATGCACTAGGATTCAATATTGCAACAGAACATGCTGTTAAGGTTATGTATTACACAACATACATATTGTACCTGACTGGAAGGGAGAGACTACCATGAAAGGGAGATAGCTACCTTTACTCTGTGACCCAAACAGTTTCTTGACAGCACCACATAAAGAGACGTGTTTCAATACGGCTGGAAATTAGACATTGAAAAAGTGCAGCAGACAGGATTTCAGGTGCTTCTACAGAGAGGTGACTGAATTAAAGGCAATTTAGGCTTACCAGGAATGTAAGTAAAAACTTTTGTTCATAGAATCCTAAAGTGTAGAGCTCGGAGGGGACCCAGGGGTAGTCTAGTTAACCCTTTGCAATGCAGGAACATCAACAAACGATCCCTGCTTACTTTTGTAAATGTGCTAGTACTTGTGTTATTTGTCAGTTTCTGTGATCACATCTCTCCCTTTGTGCGTGCTTGTGCATACATGCATAAAAACCATGTATGATCTTTTAAAAATAATAATAATTGCATTTTCAAAAACAGGAACAGAGAGCATGTTTAAGAGACATATTGTAATGGCAACCGCATGTTTAAGGTCCCATTTGGCCTTTTTATATCTGGGTTTCTAAGCTTGCCCTAGTGGGGGGGGGGGTGTTGGTTCGTTCTCTCTCTCTCTTTCTCTCTCTCTGAAGGAGAAAACAGTCTAAAATTGAGAGTGTATGGCCATGGGGAAACTTGGGGGATGATGGGAATCCAGACTCTATTGCTGAATTCACTCACTCATGGAATTAACAACCTGGCAAAAAGTCCTTTTTGGAAATAAAAATGGATAACTAGCAGAAAATGCCTTTTCCAAATATAAAAGAATTGTCACTGTTTTAATGCAGCTGATTTATAGGGATTACTCTTTCAGGTGTAACATTATTTCATGTTTCAGTTAAACACCCACCCTCCCATTACACACTTTGATTCTGACTCTAGCAGTGTAAGTCCTCAAAAAGGGGCATTCTGGGAGACTTGCAGTATATGGCAAGAAAGGACTTGCACCTCTTCGAAAACCTTTGCATAGACAGGAGGTGCGGAGCTACTGAGCTAGCAATCCTTCCAAATAAGTCATATACAATCCAGTACAATTCTCTGTATGTTTATTTGGTTTTAATTACATAATTATTAAATTTTCCAATTACAGAACTATGGTTTGTTTTATATGGACTAGTTAGCTTTGTCATCCTTATCAAATCTTTCTGAAAGAGCTCTTAATATATTTCCTGGCATTTTTTGGTGTCTATCCCGAAGATTTTCAAGTGCAGTCTTGGTCTGTTGAAAAAACAAAGGAATACATTATGTTATAGCTAAAGGAATAGGAGAAAGCTAAAGGAGTCAGACCCAGTAGCATTAAAAAAAATCCCATTTTTTCCAGCTAAAGAAGCACAATATGTAATTTTTTTCGGTGATCAGAAGTAAGGGCAGATAAGGATTTTTAGCTAATTGTGGTAGGAAACCATCTCTCCAGATCCTAAGGCATATGCAACTGGCTCCCCAGCAAAGGAGAGGGAGGAAATTACTGTCTTTTAAAAAAAATATATATTTATTAAAAGTTTCAGGATTACAGAAAAGAAGAAAAAATAGGAAACAACACTACAATACATAAAAAAGAAGAAAAAATACATAAAAACCAATACAACAATACAACAACAAAAAGAAAAAAAACACAAATCCCATATTGCATATCTTTAACTTCCATTTGCTTGTTTCATTGACCTCCTCACACCTCCCTTTTTGTATTCTAGTTTAATTAGTTATTTCAGCAAATCCTTTCCATCTTTCTCAATTTTTATTGAATAATTTATCTTAACAATTTAACCTATTAATTAACTCAGCAAATCCTTTCCATCTTTCCCCATATTCTGTTATTCAATTTGCCTTGATTTATTTAACCTTATCTTACCGTAAAATACCTTAGAGCTTCAAGCTTAATACTTATTTATACATGACTCCTTATATCATTTCTACTAAAGCCAGATAGTTTCATTCCAACATTTTCCCTAATATTCATTAATTTTACGCTAATTCCCTAAATAAAAAATTTTCTTTATAAATTTTCTTCCAATCTTCCTGGTCTCGGGTTATGTCAGTCCTTACTGTCCATTCCATCTAGTCCATCAACCTGGTAATCTTATGTCCGAGGCTCTTAAGTCTCTTCCATGTCCCTTCTGCAGATCTTCTTCTTCTTGTTTATACTTGCACTTTTCCTTGTCTTTTGTTGGTCTCTTTCTTAATTTCTTTCCTTTCTCATTGAGGAGTAGGTCTCTGGGAGATTCCAGCCCAAAATTATCTCCATCTCCCTTCATCAGACCAGCCCATTCCCCACAGTCCCACTCCCCACAGTCATCAGTGTAATCCAAAAAATATTTAAAAGCATATTTCAAAGTCCCTCCGAAGTTAAGAACCTCCTCAGCTCCAGACTCCCCCTGGACCACTCCAACTTCAATCTTCAAAAACAGCGGCTTATGCTCCTGCAGGGCCTCGGATCTCTCCATTTGTATTATTTGAGGTGCAACCGCAACCTCCTCCATTATCTTCTGCACTTGCACTTGCCCAGTCAATACAGGTTCCTGAGTTGGTCCCTGAATGATTTCTGTATCAGTATTCCCTGTTTGTCCACAGTTACTGACCACAACAGTCATAAAATCCATTTTCTCATTCATCAAATCCATCTTCTCATGCATCTGTTCCAACAAAGCACTTGTCTTGCATAAAGCAAGCACCAAAACTTCCTCCCAGCACATTTTTATTCAAGGTCAAAGGACTGGTCCCACGATCTTAATCTCACAGCTGTAAAGTCCCCAAGTAGACTGCAGCAACAATTTAACAAGCTCCCTCTAGAGGAGATAATTTCTATTTGTATCCATCTTTTTAAGGCAAGTCCAACAAAGGAAAGTTACTTTCATTTTTCAGATATTTTGTTGGAATCAGTTTATTTCTCTTTTTTAGCTATCTGTCAAAGTGTTCCATTCACAGTCAATGAACATCTCCAACAATTTCTGTCTCTGACACCCCGTTCCCAGGTTTGAGACGGTGGAAACTTGTCTTTCTTTACTCCCTCTCCTGCAGGCTTAAACAGTCAGTCCCCCCCCCCCTTTTCTCCTGCTTCCAAGGGGGTTTTAGTGGTTATAAATGAAGGAAATTTAGACTTTTATAAACAACTTTCCAGGCTTTAGCTTACAAGGTTTTTGCTTCAGTCTAGTTACAAAAAGCGGAAGGCGGACTTCCTGTTTTGAGCCTTCCCGCTTCGGTGCCAAATTAGGATGTTTCTTGATCCAATTTTCCGTTTCTACTCACGGGTACTTGTTTTAAGTCCAATTGTCCACAGGAAAAAGTCAGCGCTCTCCGGCAATGGCTGTGCGGCTTCACTCTGTGAAAGTAGCAGTCAGTTCGCAGCACCGCACCACTCACCCCACTTCACTCCGGAGCCCCAAAATGGGGTTCCCCGTGAGTAGGGGAGGCGCTCCTGGTGCCCTGCCGAACCCCACGTTCCCAGGCTTCCTCCACCTGGGATTTCTAGCGGGTCCCCACCTTCGCCACGGCGGGAAGACCCAGTTTCCACGGAGCCAGTTCCTCCGGTCGGAGGAACTCTGCCATTCGCCGATGGCACTAACCCGGAAGTCGGAAAATTACTGTCTCCTTGCATATTGAACCTTGAGAATGAACCCATAATGCTCACTCAGACCCTGCTCTGCAGTGTTCAGCCAAAATGCATGTACCAGGCCTAAGAGGACCTATGCAAGTCCTACCAGGCATACTGTCTTGGCAGGTCCCTAAAGGGCACCCTTAACACAATAATGCCTCAGTAAAGCTAATCTTTCTCTCCACAACTTTCTCACCTGTACAGACTCAATGTGGTAGGAGCAAACAAACCACACCACTGTCCAATGACAATGCATCTTAACAATGTGAAATAAAGAAGGGAACCACAGGATAACCAAAGGATCAACCCCTGCACACCCACCAAAGTAAACTACTGCTCCTTCAAACAGGCAACCAAAAGCTGAAACTAGATGTGGGGAGGGAGGGGGTTTAGCAAGAATGAAAGCATAAAGCGCATGGGGAGAACCAGGCATAAAATACCATGTTCCAAAACTCCTTCCCTTTAGCCATCAGACCCCCACATGCTCCTACCCTTAACCCCCTTCCTTTGGAAGTCCACTTCCCAAGACTTCCTTGAGAAAGGGGGGAAGTGTGACACCCCCTGCAGGAACACCTAAGATATTGTCACACAATATAATACCCTAGAGTACCCTAGAAATGGCATCTGTGTTTGAAATGTCTTCTGTAAAACTGCATCTCATTTAAGAGGTTGATGGTGCACAAGCAGTAACTATATAGATGCACAGGAGGTAGTGCTCCAGAAACCCACTAAAGGGCAAGAAACTATAAGAAGGAAGCACCAGGAAGGAATGATTCATGGCTTCAATTGTCTCTACACAAATGCACAGAGTATGGGAAACAAGCAAGATGAATTGGAGCTTTTACTACAGGATGGCAAATATGACCTGGTAGGCATTAATGAAGCCTTGTGTGATGAGTCTCATGACTGGAATGTAGGAATTTAGGGGTATAACCTATTCAAAAGGAATGAACTAAACAGGAAGGGCTTTATATTGAATGGATGTGTAAACTTGTGCAAAAATCCATGATCTGTAGCATGGAAAGCAGATTGAGAGTATATGGGTAAAAATTGTAAGAGACAGAACTACAGTAACCCTTACTGTGGGTGTCTGCTATAGGCCACCAAGACAGACTGAAGACTTGGAGGGTGCCTTCTTAGAACAGATTAACAAACATTTTAAAAGGAGATAAAAAATAAATCCGCAAAAATAAATTACTTCTCTGCCCCTTCAAACAAGCCACCAAAAGCCGGAAATAGATGTGGGGAGGGAGAGGGTGAAGCAAGAATGAAAGCAGAAAGTTCTTGGGGGAGACGAGAGCAACCATGAATATTAAGGGTCTGGAAAGGAAACCTTATGAGCAACAGTGAAAGAAGCTTGGTATTTTCAGCCTGAAAAAGAGGGGACAGAGAAGAGTTATGACAGCCATTTCAAATATCTTAAGGGTTGTCACATGGAAGATGGAGTAAGCTTATTTTCACCTGCTCTTCAGGGTAGGACTCAAACCAATGCCTTATCATCATCATCATTTTTAATTTATACTCCACCCATCTGACAGGGTTTCCATAGCCACTCTTCAAGTTGGAAGTAAGGAAATTCCAACTCAACATCAGGAAGAGCTTTCTGACAGTGAGAGCTGTTTTGACAGTTCAACAGTCTCCCCTGAGAGGTTGTGAAGGTGTTTAATAATAATAACAATAATAATAATAATTTATTTGTATCCCGCCATCCCTGGCCAAAGCTGGGCTCAGAGCGGCTCACATCATATAAGACAATATGCATAAAACCAAGAGATCAGTAAATTAACATACATCCCACATTTAATTCAAACAAATTAAAATTAAAACTGGACAAGTGGAAATCTTCAGGGTAAAACTGAAAGCAGTTACCACTGCTTCCACTGATATTATAAGCACCTTTGAGTGGGCTGGGAACCTCCTTCATGCTTTTCCCCCCAAAGATCTTTATTGAAACTTAACATATACACATAATAACCAAAATTCCCAATGATTCCCTAACATAAAATATAATATCTAAATTACAACAGCTGCATAATTATACAATTAATTATAAAAACCCACCACCCACCCTCTACTTCCCTCCACAGCAATTCCACTTCTTTATATTTCTTTCTACCTTTTTCCCCTTGCATTGTATAATAAATTATTTTTGTTAAATTCTGATTTTTCCTTCTTTCTTTATTGGTTTTGTTATTGCTTACATTTTTTATTCTAAGCCTATTAGCATGTCATTTTTAGAACAATATTTTGACATATAATCTTCAAAATACTTCCACTCCATTCTTAACTTTTGATTTGAATGATATCTTATAACTGAAGTTAATTTTGCCAATTCTATATACTCACTTAATTTACAAAAAACACTCTTCCTTTGTTGGCGTGTCCTGAGATTTCCATTTAGTGGCAATCATTACCCTGGCAGCTGTTGTTGCATAGAATTTTTTATTTTTTCATATGTGGCATGTCTTTGCCTACCACTCCTAACAGATAAGCTTCAGGATTTTTTTATCAAGGGTTTTTAAAGCATTTCCTAAAGTTCCTCATGTATTATTCCCCAAAACTTCTTTATTTTCTTGCAACCTCACCACATATGAATTATCGTTCCAGGTTCTTTGTTACATTTCCAACAAAGGTTGGATTTTAATTATAAATTAAAACATTTAAACAAAATTTTCCTTTATCGTATAGCAGGTGGTAAAGCGGATATTCTCGCACCAGAGTTTCTCCCATTGTTCTAAATATATAGTGTGGCCGATATCTTTTGCCCATTTGGCCATTGTTTCTTTTACCTCTTCATCCATCAAATCATAGTCCAATAATAGAGTGTAAATTTTCAATAATAATTTCCTATTGTTTTGTAATATAATGGTGCTAAATAGCAATTTAATTCTTCTTTGGCGAAACCTTTTCTTTTATCTGCCTTAAACACACTTTTTAATTGTATATATTGCCAATTATCCATCCCATATTGTTTTAATTCTTCATATGTTTTTAATTTTAACTTTCCTTGGTCTTCTTCCAGTATTTGTCTATATGTTGCCCAGTTCGAGTTCATATTAAGTTTTTTAACTGCATGGGCCTCTAATGGAGAGATCCATAAAGGGACTTGTGGCTCTAATAGCTGTTTATATTTATTCCAAACTTTCAACAATAAATTTCTGAGTATATGATTTTTGAAGCCATTATGTACCTTAACCTTCTTGTACGCTAGGTAGGCATGCCATCCATACCTATTGTCAAAACCTTCTAGATTTAAAATACTAGTGTTTTCCAATATAATCCATTCTTTTAGCCATGCCAGACATTCTGCTTCATAGTATATTTTTAAATTCGGTAATGCGAGTCCTCCTCTCTGCCCTTTATCTGTTAATAGTTTATACTTTATGCGGGGTTTTTCGGTTTGCCATATGAATTTTGTTAGATATTTTCTCCATTCATCAAAACAATTTTCTTTAATTATTATTGGTATTGTTTGCAACATATATATCATTTTGGTTAAAACATTCATCTTAATTATAGATATTCTCCCCATTAATGTCAGCTTTAATCTACTCCAGGTTGCTAGATCTCTTCTAATTTCCTTCCAGGCTTTTTCATAATTGTTTCCAAATAGATTAATATTTTTCATCGTCAATTCTATACCTAAATGTTTTGCTTTTGTTTTGTAACAATTTCCAAACCAGATTTTCTCCGGTAACTCGTTCTTTTCTAATTCCTGTATGTTTTTTACCATAGGTCTTGTTTTTGACATATTTATTTTGAAGCCTGCTACTTTCCCGAACTCATTCATTATCCTCAATGCTTTCATTAAACTGCTTTCTGACTCCTCAGTTGTTAATATAATATCATCCGCAAAAGCTCTAATTTTGAAAAGATCCTTGCCTAATGTAATTCCCTTTATCTCTCTTTTTTTATTTTTCATGCTTGTTCTTATACAAGGAGAAAATGAGTCAGACGGAACCCTGACCAAAGGCCTGGCAGAACAGCTCCATCTTGCAGGCCCTGCAGAAAGATGTCAAATCCCACAAATCTCCCTTGCGCCCAGAATCTTTAGGATGTTGTTATTTGCAGACCGCAAGGTCCTACGTGGGGCATACCAAGAGAGGCGGTCCCATAGGTACGAGGTTAAGCAGAGGCTGGATGGCCATCTGTCATGGATGCTTTAGTTGATATCCCTTCATTGCAGAGGAGTAGACTAGATGACCCTTGGGTCCCTTTCAGCTCTAAGAATCTATGATTCTATATCTAAAAATGTGTTGGTAGTTCAAAGCTCAAAGTTGGTAGCTCAGAGGGCATTTCATTAGTCTCAACAAGTTAAGCAGGGGAAAAGCTGAGTGATCAATATAATGCACAAAAATATATATAATAAAGCCTAGCTCAGGGTCATACAGAATGAGAAGCCAGTATGCAGAATACAATTTAGAACTGAGAAAGTGCAAAAACAATAGGAAAAGATTATTCTGTTTTATATTTCCTGGTACTTACTTTTTCAGCCAGCTCTGTGGCAGTTATATTTGGATCATATGGGATGGGTTCTCCAATATATGTCCTCAATTTCACTGGAAACCCTCCATATACAGGAAGGAGTAAACATCGAGTTTTCTCATATACCCATCTTGCCAACCCTGTGTATGAAAGGGAAAAGATTCTGAAAGAATACGACCCCATATCAAATGGATGAGACAAAAAAGCTTTGAATCGGCCAACAAACTTGGCAGGATGTTAACCTGGTTAATAAAGAAAAGGCAAAAAGATAAAATTATAGGTAAAATAATAGATCAAGGGGAAGAGATAGTAGACCCAGAAAAAATAAAACAGTGCTTTGTAAATTATTATAAAAAACTGTACAAATCAGAAGATAAAGATGAGAATAAAATAAATGATTATCTACAACGAAACAAATTACAGGTAATTGTCAGGGAGAGGCAAACGGGAAAAGAGGAAAGGACAAATACAAGCAGTTATAGAGAGCCTAAAGGGATCATCAGCAGCTTGTCGTCTGACAGTCAGTCTGACGTAGAGGGGGAGGAGGATGAGCCTGGGACAAGTCATGCTGTGCACAGAGGAAGTAAGGGGAGGAGTTTTCACAGAATTGCATGCTGGATGCGGAAAAGGAGGAAATAACATTAGAGGGAGCAACTGCGCTCAAGGGGAAGGAGGTTAATGGAAACGCTGGAGATGTACGTTTGAACTTTGCCAAATAAATCATTTTGTTGGAACTGGCTGGGAGCCCGGAGTCTTATCTATGGCCAGCTGGACAGCACTAAGCCTCTGACAGTAATATTAGAAGAGGAACATAGATATTTAAATTCAACTATCAAAATAGAAGAAATACTACAAGTAATGAAAAACAAACAAAAGTTGGGGAATCTCCGGGCCCAGATGGAATCTCAATTGGTTACTATAAAAAGAACTAGAAGAGGCCATACTTCCAAGCCTGAAAAAGATTATGAGCAAAATATTAGAGAATGGGAAGACACTGGAGTCATGGAAAGAAGCCTTAATAACCTTGATCCCGAAACAAGGAGCAGATCTGATGAATACCAAAAACTATAGACCAATTTCATTACTAAATTTGGATTCCAAATTTTTACAGGAATACTTGCAAACAGATTAAAAAAGATATTAAATAAAATAATTAATGAAGACCGGGCTGGCTTCCTCCCGGTAAGACAAATATATAACAATACAAGAACAATTATCAGTTTATTAGAATATTTGGGGGTAGGTGGGAATAAAAGATCAGCAATGATGTTAGTGGACGCTGAAAATGCATTTGATCATGTATCATTGGATTTCTTGTTGAACACCATTGATGCAATGAAATTAGGAAATAAAATATATTGCAGAATCAAGGCAATATATAATAACCAGAAAGCAAAATTAATCATAGATAAACAATGAACTAACAAAAACATTTAACATTGAATAAGGGACTAGACAAGGCTGTCCAAAAATCAGTCATTAATAAAGATGGAAGTGTCTTTAAAGGTATTTATTTGGGCAACAGATGTTATAAACTCAAAGCCTTTGCAGATTACATCATCATAACCACCGAGAACCCAATAGAGAGCATATTAGAAACACTGACAAAAATGGATGAATTCAGGAATGTCTCAGCTTTAAACTAAACAAAGACAAAACAAAATTATTAGTGAAAAACATGTGTGAAGAAGAAAAAAGAGGATTGTAAACTAAAACAGGATTAAAAATAACAAATAAGGTGAAATACCTAGACATCTGGATCACAACAAAAAATATAAACCTCTACAATTACAATTATGTAAAAAATGGAAAGAAATAAAAAAAGATTTGGAGATTTGGGGGAGGTTAAATCTGTCGCTGTGGGGCGGGATGTCCATAATTAAAATGACAGTGCTACCAAAGATGTTATTCCTATTCCAAACATTACCAATAATCAGTGGAGTTAAATGTTTTAAAGATTGGCAAAAAGATCTGGCAAAATTCATTTGGCAGGGTAAAAAACCTGGAATAAAATTACTAACAGAGATTAGAGACAGAGGTGGATTTGCAGTTCCAGAAGTAAAAGAAGTGATACTAAAGTGGGTGCAAGATCTGGGTTATCCTATAGAATTACAAAAATGGGAAGAGCTGTGGAGAAAGAATCTAAGATTCACAGCGTGTTACTTAAAGAAAAGTTTATGAAAATGCAGTTTAGATGGTATTTAACCCCTTCAAAATTAGCCAAAATGACTAAAAATTATGATGTTGGAGATGCAAATTGTATGAGGGAACCTTTTTCCATATGTAGTGGATGTGTCAAGGAATCAAAAAATCTGGGACACGACCTATGAGGAATTAACAAAAATATTAAAATTTATATTACAAAAACCCCCGGAAGCAATCTTACTAGGGATCTTAACAAATAACATCCCAAAAGAAAGCAAGAGAATATTCCTCTACACAATGACTGCATCTAGAGTGCTAGTAGCTAAGTATTGGAAGAGTGAATTTATCTCATCGAGAGAGGAATGGCAGTTAAAACTCTGCGAGTACTTTGAACTAATGAAAACGACGGAATCAATAAGAAACAAATCAGCAGACAAAGTCAAAAAAGAATGGGAATGTTTCAACAATTATTTAATGAAGCAAGGTTATACTACTAAGACTTGGTTGTATCTTGAATAACTCCGCCAATAGTGACATACTGTTTCCTCATACCAAGATGAGGATAAAATATTAAATACAAGGGGGAAAGTAAGCTAATGCAAATTGAAATCATAATGAGGCAGAAGGAAGCCAACATCAATAACAAATAAGTAAAGAGATTCAACCCATACTAAAGGTCACTATATATAAGAAATACTATTATAGGGTTGAATTATAGCAAATAGAATTTTTTTAGGAAGGAGGTCTTAAGGCAGTCTAAGTTATTATTTCGAGAGAGTTAAACTTTGCTTGATTTTTGTTCGTTTATTTTTCTTTTCTTTTTTATATCCTTTTCTATTCTATGTACGTTGATATGTATGTGTCAGGGAACTGCCACCGAAGCCAAGAGGAGGGGGAAGTCGCCCCAATGATGCAGGGGAGGGAACTAGCAAGGAGAGAGAGAGAGCTTCCGCTGGGGAAGGAAATCAAGGTGACACCAGGAAGAAAGGGGAGGCTGAGAGTACTTCGGAGGGAAGGCTCCGAGACTCTTCCAGTGAGATCAGCGGGGAGAGCACAAGACCTCCGCTTAGCACGCCCACGCTGCGCAGAAAGCTTCCGCGCAGAGAATCTAGGAGGAGACTTGGACTCAATGAACTCTTATGTTGGAAGAAGTTTAGGAAACGCCCACTGACGGATTCTGCCAGTGATTGAGACAGTCGCGTTGTGAGGGCTGTCAAACCAGTGAAAGGTTTAGCTATACAACCAGCTTGGAGCAGTTTGGAGTTTACGCACAAGCAACCCCAATTCCCATTACAGTATGCTTTCTCCTTTCTCCTTTTTCCCTTTTCTTTTTTCTTTTTTTCCAGGCAGGTTATTAAAGTATTTATTTGTTAACTATAGTTACAGGTAGGTAGCCGTGTTGGCCTGCCATAGTTGAAACAGCTGTCTGAAGAAGTGTGCATGCACACGAAAGCTCATACCAATAATTAACTTAGTTGGTCTCTAAGGTGCTACTGGAAGGATTTTTATTATTATTATTTGTTAACAATGTATTTACAAATGTTTTTTTGGGGGGGGATTTCTATAAAAATATTCTGAAAGAATGCGACCCCATATCAAATTTGAAATTAGTTGGCATTTTGAGAGTTGGTAGGAAATAGATATTCATTTTTTAAAAAAACACCATGATATATTATTAAAATGTATTTTGCCTGAAATTAGATATCTTGATCAACCAAAGAACATAATAAATTTAACTCACTTATCTTTCCAAAGGTCCTGAATGCTTCAGAATCATTTTGAGTAAATATAGGGATGATGGGCTAAAAGAATAAAATAGGAAATAAACAATAACAGAAAGGTGAGACCTGGTTAATTACTTCACCCCAACCATTCCACCTTAATTTTTGTTAAAGACTAGAAGGAATGATTCACACCCGGCATTATAATGACAAGACAGATGTGATTGGCTTCAGAATTCCTGACAGATCTATTCAAATATCTAAGATGAAGAAAATTCACAAGCTGTCCCCCAGATTTTGAGGAATTGAAGAGAGTAAGAAGAAAAAAGTTGTTTTTCTTATTAAACGTTATTGATTTCAGTAGCTTTTTTAAAAAGCAGGCGTGGGGAATCCATGGCTCTCCAAATATCATTTCACTTCATCCTCGGCTATGGAGGATGCTAGATCAAGGATGTCAACACAGTACGTCATATACAGGATAATTGTGAGGACAATGCAAATTGCCCAAAGATCACTCACCACTTTTGCCTCCAAAGCTAGCTGAGCGAAACCTGTGTGGTTACCCCATATTAAGCTGTAGTCATTACTAAAGTTTGCTTCTCTACCTCCACCAGGTGCAACGCCCAGTAAATGGCCTTTCTTCAGAATTTCCACACATTCAGATTTCTTGAAATCTCTCAAGAAGAGCACATCACAAAACATCTTTGGCCCTAGAAGAAAGCCCCAAATAGAAAAATGCATTTTATATAGCTCTCATTTAGGAAATAGTGTGGATACTATACAAGTGTCTTCATTCCAAAGATTACTGATCAACTAGGATTTCATGGAAGGGGGACTTTATGCTAGTTCCCCTTTTGCTCACATGTTCTGGCTCATAGAGTGAGGCTGAGTGCTGAGGTGACCACCTTTTGGAGAAGTGTTCCTCAAGTCAAGTCTCTAGTACACTAGGTTGATATTCAAGTTTGCATCATGATAAAAATACAGCCCAGGCATCACCAAACTCGGCCCTCCAGCAGTTTTGGGACTACAACTCCCATCATCCATAGCTAACAGGGCCAGTGGCCAGGGATGATGGGAGTTCTAGTCCCAAAACTGCTGGATGGCCAAGTTTGGGGGTGCCTGATACAGCCCATAGTGCCTTGCCGGACAATCTTCAATCTCTATATGCTGCTTGAGTTTTGGATACAGTGGACATTCACACATAGACACATACAGAGAGAGAGAGAACAGAGAGGAACCCATGCTGGTGGAAACCTGTCTCCACCAGCAGAAGCCCATCTTTTCACCCAGACAGGAGGTTAGATGCTTCATTAATTTACCCAATGGAATGCCCCTCTCTGTGCTACTGGGCCTGTTTGGGCTCTGACCTCACTTCTTTTGCTTTATTTTTAAAATTGACCTATGTGTGGTGTCATAGTTTCCTGGTGTGGCTGCTGTGTGCATGCAGAGGAAGATGATGTGGGGGGAGTTGCAGTCGAGGTTCCATGAACACTTTTTAGAAAGGATGCCACAAGTGGTTGCTTGCAGTGTCACGTGGGGGCATAAAAACTGTCTGTGAGACTGCTTGATTGTCCATGTGTTTGGGGGAGGCATGCTTCCTGGGATCACTGCACATTGCTTAATAGGTTGGAGTTGCTATGAAAGCCATGGGCATGTATGTGTGTTTCTGCCATTTTCCTTAGCTGTAGCTCCCATCCCATCCCAGTTGCCACTAAATGTGTATGAATACAGTGAATTGTTCACAGGAAGCTTGCTAGTGAACATACTCTCAAGTAGTTTCCCATACTTTGCATTGTTCTTCCCAGTAAGACACACCCATCTTTATTAATGACTGATTTTTGGGCCCAACAGGACCAGACTGGGTCTGCCCTAACAGCCCATGACCTAGCTGACCTACTGCTGGAGCTCTGGGGACTGATCAGTGTAAATGTCTTGTTGTTTCCTGTAGCTGTCTTTTCATCTCCTGATTACCCTGAAATTACTTAGGCCTAGAAAAGACAGAGGGTCCTCAAGTGAGCCTTCCAGAACAAAGTTGGATCCAGAAGCCCCTCAAACGGCAAACCCGCTCCTTCAAGGGGAGTGCAAACCTATCCAGAACAAGCAACTGACCAATTTGTCGGACATTGCAAGATCCAAGCTCAACTTCTTTTTCCTCATCCATTTCACCACTGCGTCCAGGCAATGGCTCACAGAATACACAGGCTCTCCTGATTCAGATGCGATGGAGAAAGAGAGCTGAGTGTCATCAGCATACTGATGGTAGCTCTCCCCAAAACTTCTATTGCCTACTCCCTGCAGCATCCCATAGCATAGTGCTACTCCCTGGAATCGGTCCTAAAGATAGGATTGGAACCATGGTAATACAGTGCCCCCAATTCCCATTCCTTAGAGACAGTCCAGGACAATACCATAATCAATGGCATCAAATGCCTACAAGAGATCACAAAAAAGAACAAGGTCACATGCCCCTTGTCCCACTTTCTTCGAATTCTGGCATCAGGAGTTGCTGTTGGAACCAAACTCCAGTTGAATATGATGCTGAGGATGGCAGTGGTTTGGGAGTGATATCCAGGGTCAAATTGTATGCAAAGCATTGTACAGCTGATGTTATGTTCCATGTATTTTCTCCCATGTTGGTAGCTGTAGCCCTGTGGGCTGAAGAGTTTAGGAACAAAATGGTGAGATTCTGTTGTGACAACCTGGCAGTGCTTTGCATTATCAACTTACAGCCCTCCCGTTTGCCTTGGTGCATACATTTGTTTTGCACTGCTTGGACTTCAGCATCCTATTCACAGAATAACTGGATAGCTGATGCTGTCTGTCGGTTCCAGAAGAAGTGGTTCTGCAAGCTGGCACTGGGTGCTGTGCACAACCTGATGAGGATGCCAAGCAAACCTTGGCAATTGATACCTCAACTGGACATTTCTTCTACTCTGGCCCCCTGTACCAGGCAGCCATATTTGTCTAATCACCAGGAGTTCAGGGACATCAGGACCACCTCTATGGCCCATCCACTTTAGGACCAAGAGCAGAACAGACCAGATAAATGTAAGCCCATAATACCAGATGCTCTATTGTTGCTGCTGTCCCTGTGTTCTTTCACTTTGGAAGAGCAGCTGTTTCCTGCTGTTTCATTGGTTGCCTTTCGTGGGGCTTTGGGCCTACGAGTTACTTTCTATGTCTAGGGCAGGCCTTGTTGTTCCAGAATGTCCAGTTTGCAGATGGGTTGGTACGCATTCTCCTAAGGCAGTCCAAGATGGGCCAGAAGGCTTTGGCTCCAAGGTCAGGAACGAGAGTTGCCATGATGTACCTTTATGCCCTGTGACAGCACTTGCAGCCTATCTGGCCACGCGGCCTGTTATGTGGGTCACCTTTTCCTCTCCCAGGATCAATTTGAAGTTTGGACAGTTCTCTGCCCAATTAGCCATAGCTTGTGATCCAGTTCAGTTTGGTTTGCATTCCTTTCACATAGGTACAGCCATAGCTGCAGCTCTCATGGGCATCCCACCAGATCTGGGACATTGGAAGATGGCAATCTGATGCATTCAAACTTTATATTCACTTTTAAGCAAAGTGCTATATCTAACATACTCCCCCCCCTTTTTTTTATGGATCTGGCCAGTTGCCAGGAGCTGTCAGAGTCATACTGAGTGGCCAGTCCATTTCATTCTGGGCTCTTCCGTGTGCTACTTCATCCATTGTTTGAACCCAGCTGAGAATCTGCCAGGGCAAATTGTCACCAGGAAATGAAGAGAGGCTTGCTTTCAGAGGATTCCCCCAACTGGATAGAAATGGGTGCCGAAAGATCACCACTGGGTTGCTTACATTCCCCATGGTCACATCCATCAAGATCTTCCTCTATCAGTACAATGGGGTCCACCCTTCAGAGGAAGCCTGAAATCTTTTCTTTGCTGGCCTGCAATGAGCTCTATTTGAGCTCTCTTTTTTTTGTTCTTAGGAGGAGGTGAACTACCTGGCATTGATCTCTTCAAGTAGCTGTTAGTTCAGGCAGGAAACATAATACAAGAGAGAGTGGAGTAAATAATTACGGTGGTATTTAGTGAGGGGCACTCTTTGATCACCTTACATTGTCTTGTGTTGGGTCATTGGGGATGGCATTTGGGCTTTGCATTCACATTGGGCTGAAGACTGACCTGGTTGACATTCATATTGGTTTGTGCTCATCAAGTCATGTGCCCACAATTCTAGGAACAAGGAGGAAATATTTCTTCCAGTCCTTTACTCTGAGGGAATGTTGCCTGTAAACATGGCCAAGAAAAGGGAGTAACCTGTTTCCTTCTGCCTAACTGTATATTGATTTGGCTAGTTTAATTTAATTTACAGATCCTTTAGGCTGCTATATAACCTTTTGTCCACAATATTTCATTTCATTTTCACTTCAATACTATGCCCTGAGTCTTCCTTAAGGTGTAGTTTGTGTTGAGAAACACCCTGGGATCGGGGGCCACTAGGTGGCGCATCGGAAGATGGCTGACAATAACATCTCTCCAACCCACACGAGGTAATTTGGAGGCTATGATGGGGGTAATTAGCCTCCTTAACCCCACCAGGATTGTGGTGGGGACGGCCCTTGCCTGCTGTGCCCTATACCACCCCCGAATTTGTGGGGGTGGGGGCACTAGGCACAAAGCCCTCCTGTGGGATTTTCGGCACTCCTTGACGCCGTCCCTGATTCGCGCCGCTGGTTGCAATGATCTTTAAAAGAAACAATTTGGACGAGATTAATTGCACATACATCAAGGAAAAAGGGGAGTAAAGACTGCTGACAGAAGAGATCTCTGATAACAAGACAAGAATAAAATATGAGAAGATACGTCAAGATATGGTATGACAAATGACTGAGGGGGGAGGGGGGAAAAACCTGCCTTTCCTTTTTCTATGTGATTTAACAAGAATCCCCTCCCCTAATGAGTCAGAAATTAAGGACTTAAGCTGTGGATTTAAGGCTGTGTGGAGATAAACTTTCGATCCAAAGCAATGTTTCAAGATGAAGCTGGAAAGCTAAGAGTTTTGGAGTGACACAGTCAAAAAAATGCCGTCGCCATTTTGGGAGGCATTGTTGGAGCTCTTGGGTCTGGGAGAAGAAAGAGAGAAATAGAGTTGTTTACATATCGTGAATCAACTTCTCGGTGGGACTTAAGAGCGACAGATGCCAAAATTTACGATGGAAAGAGTGATGTTATCTACGAAGGAGATATATGGAAACCATCTGGACTTAGTGGAGGAACGGGAAATCCACACAGGAATATTATACTTGCTATCGACTTAAGGAGACTAACAGAAGAGATCGTAAAGGAAAAAGAGAAATTATATGAACAAGATATGATGTGGCAACACCAAGATACGACTGGATAGAATTATGAACTTTGTTTGGACTGATTGGGACTGATTTGGACATTAACGCAGTAATAAGAAGATGATCTGAATCCCCCTTTGGATCTTGAAGTATGGGTTCCCCCAACAAAATTTAAAAATTTGGCTTTGTAATTTGGAATTTATATGATGTGATTTAATTTGATGTGATTGGCCAGTTAATAAAAAATTATTATTATTATTTTTAAAAAGAGAAACACCCTGGGATCTTTGGATGAAGGACAGTATACAAATTTAAGAAAGACAGGAATGAATTGGAAATAATTATTCATCCTACATTCTGTCTTACTTGCAGGGACTTGGTGAGAAAGAACCTATCCACTAATTTACTGTTTCACCTGTTGCCGCTATTTTATTTACCTGTGGTTTTTTGCCAGATACACTGTTTTGTATTCTACAGCACTGTTTTATATTTAATAGCATTGTTTCATGTCATATTTGGCACATGTTTTATGCAAAAAAGCACAATTTTAATTTAAATAATTTACCTGGAAGTTTATACAAGAAGTGATCAATTACTGAATGGCACAGTCTCCCTTTCTCTTCATAAGCTTTGCACACAAAGAAGCAATAGCCGCGAAGCCAAATTGAGTGATGAAAAATAACAATCCCAGGCCCTTTAGGGAGATGTTCCAAGCCAATAACTTCATAACCTGAATATAGTACAAATGGCAACAAATAAATATTATGTTGTTGAAAGGTAAATAAAATATCACAATATTTTATTGGAAGAAAACAGTGTGTTTCGGAAGGGGGGAAATGAAATTAAGATCAGGTTCAAAGCTCTGCTATGTGTTCCAGCATTCTGGATGCCAGGAGAGCGTCCAAGAGGAACAGGACTTTCTCTGTGGTGGTCGCAAAACTAAAGGGGGCAGGAGGGGACTTCTCCTCTCCTGGAATATTCATTCCTTGCTTCCTTTTGGATACAGATGGAAACATTTTTGCCCAGTCTTTGAGTTATTTTGCTCTTTTAATCTACTTTATGTGTTTGACCCTTTGAGATGATTTAACATGATATCAAACTAAACGTTTTGGAGACTTTTATTTATTTATTTGAAGGGCAGTATTACCCTTCTGTACAGAGCGCTACTTTGGGGAAGAGCTATCTTAGGCCAGGAGCACATTTCTTCCCCATCCCTAAGAGCTCCAACCAGACATCTTCAGACCATCTTCTGAATCACTATATACCAAGTAAGAAAGCTGTTTTCCAGACAGATGCACCATTGACCATGTTATAAGTAGCTACTGGGTTTCATCATTGAGGCCCAGGCTTAGTTTTAGTAGTGTATTTCTGATTTATGCTTCCACTCCTAAAGCAACATCAACATACCCTCCAACATTTCTCAAATGAAAATAAGCACATCAAATAATAATAATAATAATAATAATAATAATAATAATAATAATATAACAATAATAATTGTACTCTTTATACCCCACCCATCAGACTGGGTTGCCTCAGCCACTCTGGGTGGCTTACAACATATATAAAAACATTAAATGTTAAAAAACTTTTGTATACTTGGCTGCCTTCACTCATGTGTCGCCTAACTCCCTATCCTCTGACATTTCTCTGATGAAAATAGAAACATCCTGAGGAAAAGCAGGGCATTCCAGGATCAAATCAGAAACCCTGCCAGGATGGCGTCTGTAAATCCGGGACTGTCCCTGGAGAACAGGAATACTTAGAGTTTTTTTGCAGTCTTCTGGGAGGATATAAAAAGAATCCTGTTGATGAGGCCAAAGGCCTCTATAGCCCACCATCCTGTTTCCCACAGTGTCCATCTAAAGTAGTAGCCATTAACACAACCTGTGCTGGCAAATAGCATAGTTTATGTTTCAGAGCTACCTTGTGGTTTATCATGCTCAGGAAAATTGCACACTGAAGGTCTCACTATACAATGTTATATTAATTACATTGGCTGTGTACCCACAACACATTTAAAGACAATCCCTTTCTCTTGCGACAATCCATGAAGCTATTTTTAAAGGGCTTTGCTAATTGCAGCTCTGTGAAGTGTAAGCAACATTCTCCAGGTTTCGGGGGGGGGTTAAATATGATTAAAATGTATGGTGTTTATGCAGCCACCAACTCACCCTTTCTTCTGTAATACGTCTTGATTTTATACGTACCTCATAAAATATTTTGTTTTTCCTTAGGATGGCTTATTACATATATAAATTTCCATGCCTTTGTTTTGATCCTTACAAAGCCAACCAAAACTTGTAGCTCTTATGACACTGAGGTGGGTTCAGAGCTACACTCCTGATGCACTGTGGCAACTATTGTTCCAGTGTTTCAAGTCTGAAATTCTGATGCTCAGTCCTATGAAAGTATAGGAGCTGATAAGACTGAATTATTGGTATGAAAGAAACCTTTACTCACCATGCCATATCTTTCCATATATATCGAAACAGCGATACATAATGTGCCTTGTCTTGTCCCAAAATTTGCTATAAAAATCATTTTCTTGCTGGTTATTCATCTTCTTGTAGATATATAACAGAAATGAGACAGCACAGCAAAATATATATATAAATAACCAGAAAGAATAAAGCAAAATGGGAATCATAAATAACCACAGAGGGTGAACCACAGACTTCAGGTATTCTTCCAAATAAGTAACACTAATCCAGTTTTCCAGCATTTGAGTAATCCAGCTCATTGTTTCCTGATCTGAAGCAAGTGTATGCCAAGAGATGAGAAGAGCTGAAGTGTATGCCAATGAAATAAATATAGCAAGTGAAATTCGCCTCAGTTGTGATGGTATCTTTCCCCCCACTGTTTACCTGTAAAACAGAAAATGCAGTACATCAGTTTGAACTGTCAACCCAGAGCATTCATGATTACATGAAATCTAGTTTTCCTCACTGTAACTAGCCAAGCAGTCATTTCCCCCCCCCCCCAGCATTCATCGCTGAGATCTACAAAATTAGTAATGTACAATCATCATGTTCTTTGTTGTAAAGCAAGCTGGTTTCATTTCATGGCTGAAGTGTTAAGGAAAGTGGAAAAGGAGTTACTTCTCCATAAGTCAGCAGAAATGGCAGTTGCAGGACTTCGTTAGCCACTAGACTTTGCACTTGCTGTGTGGAGTTTGTTTCAGCACTTACTTTATAATCTGAAATGGCCTCTTCTCTTCAGAGAGTGAAGACTTCTTCTAGCAACTGCAAAGAACGTGTATATATAGTGTGTCTTTTTGCCCCTGAAGTAAAAGCTCTCTCTGCTACACGGTTGTTTCCTACATTGAACCTAACCGCCTGACTGAACTTCTGTGGCACAAACACAACACCCAACCAGGAGGGTGGGGAGAATGGGGAGCTGAAGTTTGGAAGCATTTTGGGTTACACTGCAAAGAGGGATTGCAGCTCTGCTGCCAGGTAATAGCAGATACTGAAGGCCAAACCCTGTTATCACTGCCTCTAGACATTCTTTCCACTTTGGTTATTGAGAACCATGCCACAACACCCAGCCATAGCTGTCAATGTTTTCCTTTTTTTAAGGGAAATTCCCTTATTCCGAATAGGATTCCTCGCAAGAAAAGGGAAAAGTTGACAGCTATGCACCCAGCCATCACATTTTTGTCTTCAAATTACTTAGTCATCTGAAGACCCATTAGCTTTACGTAGCTGAATTGCATATTTCTGATTCTACTCTATTTTCACTACATCTTGCAATTAAATAGTATATAGAATAGACCCAAAAAATGTGGGTGGTTTTTTTGGGAGAGGGAGACCTGAAATCACAGCTTTTTTAATTCCAATAGGACTTTTGTGCCTATAATAGCCACATGATACGGAATAATTAAATTTCTGTTTCTCAGAGTTGTAATATTTGAAAAAGCTGTAAGTGATTAATTTCCTCTTCCCACATAGCTATGCAAAGGTAAGTGTCACTGTTGGGGTTTATCTTAGATATCTCACTGCTTCCACCAAGATTTTGGTGAGTCTTACTTCAGACTGGATCCTTTCCACACGCCCTTGCCAGTAATTAGGAAGACCTCATCCCTGGTATTAGAAGAATGATAAATTGCAGATGGGGTACTGTTGTGACTAAAACAAACTTGCGTGTATTTGAGGCTACATCCAATGCTCTCCCACTGCTTTTTTGGAGAGCAGTGTACATATGGCATTAGCCACCATCCATCTCTATCCTGTTCTGTCTTCTGAAATACTGTGTTGATTAGTTTCCCCCTAAACCAGTCTCAACCCTGGTTGAAATTTTCATACTACTCCTAAAATGTGACTTCCTAAAATCCTTGGGTGAGGCCAGCAAAGCTTGCTGAATCTCCAGCAGTGCCTTATACAAGCTCCCCTGTGGGGCAGTGTGAGCTCTGAAGAGTTTGGGCTGTCACAATTTGGATAATGGGCCATGGCACTAGAGGGAGAGATCAGCTCATTGCCACACAGCCTCTAAGACTCTCACCGGAGTGACAAAGCTTCCAAATTAAATCCAAATAAGAAGATAGAATTCAAAGAATTAGTGGGGAATCTTGGGAAAAGAGTCCGGGAGTGAAAAAAGGGAGTCCACTCCGGATCTGGTAAAATCTGGGGAGAAAAATTGGACTGCAAAGAAATGGGTACAATTAAATGGGTACAGTTTAAACAACTCAAATTACAATTGTGGAATGTAAACAATGATACTCCCCTTTTAGTACAGTGGTACCTCGGGTTACATACGCTTCAGGTTACATACTCCGCTAACCCAGAAATTGTACCTCGGGTTAAGAACTTTGCTTCAGGATGAGAACAGAAATCGTGCGGCAGCAGCGCAGCAGCAGCAGCATCAGGCCCCATTAGCTAAAGTGGTGCTTCAGGTTAAGAACAGTTTCAGGTTAAGAACGGACCTCCAGAATGAATTAAGTACTTAACCTGAGGTACCACTGTATTTGAAACCCAACCTCCAAATGAAAGATAACAGTGGATCTAAATGTACTGCCAAAGTATACAAATTAAAACCTATTAAACAAGACAGAAAGAAAGAAATAGCAACCTCGTACTATCAAATAGCGGGGGCTTTCGAAAACTTGGGTGCCAAAGGAAATAAGATTTTAATCACAAACCAGACTTGTAAGTGTGGCCAGGAGGACTGGATAATCAGTTCCCTGTGTCCTTCTCTGTTTCTCCATATGAGAAGATTTTTTGCGTGTGGTTGTTTTTCCAAAGTCGTCCTTGGGCAATGCTGTGCTGATAGAGCGGTTTAGGGATTAACTCGGGAGCTTTGTTGCCCAATAATTGAACTAACAAGACTTAATGGATTCAAATGGTTTCCAGAGAGTGGTAGGGGATGCTTTATCCCATGTTAATGGCCTTTCAGCTGATTCCCTGGTGGCCCGCTGGAATGCGGAGTTAACCAGGGCTATTGATTATTTGGCTCTGAAGTGCCCTCTCCAGGCGCGTGGTTTTCCACAGATCTGAGGGCAATGAAATAATCATTGAGACGGCTAGAGCACCGGTGGCGGATAACTCATTCTGATGCTGACTGAACACGGGTTAGAGCTCAATGTCGAGCCTACCAAGTGGTGGTAGTGACGGCGAAGAAGACTTTCTTCACTGCCTCTATTGCATCTGCAGAAAACAGCAGCAGGAGACTTTTTCAGGTGGTTCGCAATTTAGCAGAACCACCTGCTACATCGGGGCCCAGTACGGGCCACATGATCTCCTGCAATGATTTTGCAAAGTTTTTTTGCGGATAAAGTCACTCAGATTTGGGAAGAGGTAGACTCTAACATGGGAGCAGGGCCGGGGCGGGAGAGTGCTAGAGTCCTGTCTAGTCAAGTTATGTGGGATCAAGTCCAATCTGTTACCTCCGAGGATGTGGACAGGCTGCTTGGACTAGTGAAACCAACCACCTGTCTCCTTGATCCTTATAAAAGCTAGTTGGGAAGGGCTGAGCGATGGGCTTTGCGGGGTGGTGAATGCTTCTCTCTATAAGGGAGCCTTCCCAGACCTGCTGAAAGAGGCGGTTATCAAATTGCTCTTAAATAAACATATTTAGATGGCCAACTATCGCCCAGTCTCAAATCTTCCATTCTTGGACAAGGTGATTGAGCGGGTGGTTGCTGAACAGCTCCAGGCACGCCTGGAAGAAGCGGACCATTTGGATCCCTGCCAGTCGGGATTCAGGCCTCATCATGGGACTGAAACTGCCTTGGTTGCACTGGTCGATGATCTCTGGCAGGCTAGGGACAAAGGTGAGAGCTGTTTCCTAGTTCTACTGGATCTCTCAGCAGCTTTTGACACCATCAACCATAACATCCTTCTGGACCGTCTAGTGGGGCTGGGAGCTGGGGGGCACTGTTATACAGTGGTTCCGCTCCTTCCTCCTGGGCCGTGTTCAGAAAGTGGTGGGGGGGGATGAGTGTTCAGACCCCTGGGCTCTCACTTGTGGTGTGCCTCAGGGTTCTGTCCTCTCCCCCATGCTTTTCAACATCTACATGCAGCCACTGGGAGAGATCATCAGGGGGTTTGGGCTGGGTGTTCATCAGCATGCGGATGATACCCAGCTCTAACTCTCTTTCAAACTGGAACCAGTGAAGGCAGGGTAGGTCCTGTGTGAGTTCTGGAAGTGGTTGGAGGATGGATTGCGGCTAACAGATTGAGGTTGAATCCTGACAAGACAGAAGTACTGTTTTTGGGGGACAGGAGGCGGCCAGGTGTGGAAGACTCCCTGGTCCTTCAGGGGTAACTGTGCCCCTGAAGAACCAGGTGTGCAGCCTGGGAGTCATTTTGGACTCACAGCTGTCCATGGAGGCACAGGTCAATTCTGTGTCCAGGGCAGGCTGAGACCCTACCTGCCCGCGGACTATCTCGCCAGAGTGGTGCATGCTCTGGTTATCTCTCGCTTGGACTACTGCAATGTGCTCTATGTGGGTCTACCTTTGAAGGTGACCTGGGAGCCTACAATTAATCCAGAATGTGGCAGCTAGACTGGTGACTGGGAGCGGCCGCCGAGACCATATAACACTTGAAAGACCTACACTGGCTCCCAGTACGTTTCCGAGCACAATTCAATGTGTTGATGCTGACCTTTAAAGCCCTAAATGGCCTCGGTCCAGTATATCTGAAGGAGAGTCTCCATCCCCATCGTTCTGCCTGGACACTGAGGTTCAGTGCCGAAGGCCTTCTAGCAGCTCCCTCACTGTGAGAAGCCAAGTTACAGGGAACCAGGCAGAGGGCCTTCTCGGTAGTGGCGCCCGCCCTGTGGAACGCCCTCCCACCAGATGTCAAAGAGAAAAATAACTACCAAACTTTTAGAAGACATCTAAAGACAGCCCTGTTTAGGGAAGCTTTTAATGTTTAATAGGTTATTGTATTTTAGTGTTTTGTTGGAAGCCGACCAGAGTGGCTGGGGGGACCCAGCCAGATGGGCAGGGTATAAATAATAAATAAATTATTATTATTATTATTATTATTATTATTATTATTATTATTATTATTATTGATATGAGGAAGGGGAGACAGTAAACCTTATTCCCAGATATTTACAAAAGTGAGTGGCTAAGGATTTTAGCAGGTCCCGAGTAAATCGAGCAGAGTTGAAATAGAGTATTTAATTGATAACAAATTGCATGCTTAAAAAGATGTGGGTTACATGGAGTAGTGTTTATGCATGTACGCACAAACACGCACAAAGGGAGAGATGCTATCACAGAAACTGACAAAT